TCAGACAAGCCTGCTAATTCTTCGGGCAGGGTATCAAGAGGGTTCCCACCCCCGTCCTCCAACATAACCTCAGAAGAGCAAGAGGGGGAAGGAACGTCATGCTCATGATACAGGTACAAACCACGGGTGAATATCGGGTCATCAGGCTCGATCGCTGCCTGCATAAAAATTGCAGGCACAAGCTTCTTCTCGTGCTGCAACTACTGCTGCTAGCTGACATTCAGGCAGACGGTGCTTGCTGGTATCTTCACACCCACACTCACAGAGACCGTCCGTCGCGTAGCCAGCTATATTCGCACGGCTTCGCGTCCAAACACCGTCACAGGCGCAGCAGCTGATCAGGAATTTCTGATGTTTGCTGGAGCGCCTGCTTACTGAACTAATCACTCGCTCGATGAAGTCGAACCAGGCTCTCATCGGGATGGGCTCATCGGGGCTCACTCGAGGCTCACTCACCTTCTCTGCTAGTGCTATCCCGTGCTTTCTCTGAATGCCTGCACACAGCAACTGACCGAGCAAACCTGGTGATATTTGATCGATTGCCACCTCACAACCTCGATGATCAGTAAATTTCGTCGCTGACGTCACTGCCCAGCCTGCTCGCTGCGCCGCCAGAACAGCTCGACGTATGGGCCCTCTGCTGTTCGCCCAGCTCATCGCAGTGTCGTGCTCTGGTCGTACTTCATCCCAGATCTGCAGGAGCCTCTGCGCACTGATCGTGGCGTAGGAGCTGGTGCTGGCAACCCACAGCATTCGGCACCGTTGCCCCGCTTGCGCCACTGCCAGCTTCGCCGGCGAGTCGCCATTGAGTACAACCTTGGCCGTCAAGCTGGCACCTCCATGCGCAGGTAGCCTGCACCGCGCATGGGCAGCTCGTAGTTTGCGCCATTCTGTGCCATCCATGCCTGCAATCTCTGCACCGTAGCAAGCTTCTGGAGTGATGCCAACTTCTACGATCTTTCCACACGCCTGAGCTTTGTCTACACCAGCAATAGCTTTGCGAAAGCGTCGTAGCTTCCGAAGCAGTCGTACCATTTTCATTCCACGCTTCTGCCTCTGCTTGCTGGCACCGCCAGCGCCACGACGCCTGCCTTCACTGATGTCAGTCCCAACGTGCACCGCGTTCTGCTTAGCCACCTCTTGTGGTAGCCCAGCCGCTGCCGCAATTTGTTGGGCCAAAGATAGCGAGCTGCCAGCAACTACCAGCTTGTCATTGATCGTGGCTTCTGTCATATCATATACCTCCACAAAGTCACGGTGTGCACTGACCGCCAATTGCACCACAACTTCTGGGTTGCTGCTGGATGGCCTCATACGGTTGTCACCGATGTAGCTCCGAAAGTCATCCATGCATGCCGTTGAACCAGCCAGCCAAACTCACCGACAGCCCACACTTTAATCGACATGTCACAACATGCATCACCTGCAGGGAGTCCGATCACTGGGAAGAGAACCGACTCACTGTGATGGCCCCGCAGCCTGAGAATCCGCGGCGCACGCCACATGTTGTAGGCCAGCTTGATGTAGCCTGAGGGCGCGCCCTTAGTCATATACTTGTCTCTGAGCCGTGACAATCGGATCTTCTCGTAGTACTTGTTGTAATCAGCAATAATGGTAACACCATGTCGCGCGGTGGCAGAGTCTGCTTCAGCCTCCGCAGCCTGGACCCATGCACAATCGAGCGCGCTGCGTCCTCGTCCAGCTCCCCAGTAAGGCCTGTCCAGTGCCGCTTGCATCTGATCCAGTACACCACGCCTAGCCCTCTGCCACACTCGATAGAATCCTGCATACAATACTATCAGACGATGCACTTCTGACTTCCATTTTCGGAATCATCGGGGTGAGCACCCGCGTGAGCTGTCGTGGGGGCAAGCCAATGGCTTCAGCACGTGTGAACAAATTCGACACTATTTCCAAATCGTCATCATCCAACAGTGCGAAACGGCGCGGATGTATTCCATCAACTGAGGCTGACGTCATCTCTGGAAACGACCGCGCAACCGCACGTACCTGTTCCACCGTCATTGGTGGCAAATGTCTTCTGTCAGGAATCCAAGCTTCCGCAGGCCCCTTTGCACTCTGCCATAGCCGTCGATGAGCTTCTACTTCATGCGCCAGCACGTCGTGCGGATGCGCTGACAATCCTCTCTCAGTATGTGCCACTGTCGCAACGTATTCCGGCTTGTACTTGGTCGTTTTCTGCAGCATTCGAGCTCCCCCTGCCGGTGCAGTAGCGCACCAACCCCTCCACTCTTGAGGCGCATGTCGCGATTCACTTCGCTCTGCCAGCTCAAGGTCTTCAGCAATGTGCTGTACAAAACTGTCGCATATCTCAGGATCAATAGCCACATCTAAAAAACTCCTAGCTTCACGGGCAGCCTGGTCCAGTCTGGCATCTAGACCTTGCCCCGGATACTCTACCATGGACAACGCCGCCGCCTCTTCAGCAACTCGCAGGCTCATGCTGATGTCATTGGTCGCTGAGCGTTGCATCTGAGCAATATGGTTGATAGCATGCGTGAGCCCCCTCCAGCCGTCGGCTATCACTTTGGCGTCGGCTGGGTCCTTCATCGTGTAGTCTATCGTCGCCCATCTCGCTTGCAATGGCTTCCCGAAAGCACCGTAATTCAGCGTAGAACTGCCTGCCACACCACCAATCTGTCTCGCGGCAAGCGATGCAAATAACGTCCAAGCTCTCGATAGAAGGCACCCACCTGCCATCGCTCCCACATTCTCATCACAGCACGCTTGTCTTGCAGCATCAGTCACTGCTCTGGCAACGCGCCAGCACGGTGGTTCTGGTTGAGGCCCGACAGTTCCTTTTTTTCCCAAGGAAGGTACTGCAGAATAGACCAGCTTCCGCATGCTCGCCGCCGTTCCTTTGAGGTGCAATAATACAGGCCGATGAGGCCTCCTGGGCCACAACATGTCTGCACGAACATCAGAGAACGCCCGTTTCGCTGCCGTGCTCAACGCAAAATAATCAATCACAGTGTTGCCAGCACCACCACGACACGTGACTGCCTCTGATGACCGTATAATCGTGCCGCTGAGGGTAGGGGAGCTTGATGCATTCAACTCTCCTGGTGGGGGATTCCAATCACCTGCAATTGCAACGGGCTGCCCAGGCCACTCGCAATCGAGCCAACTCTTGCAAGCAACTGTGCATTTGTCCCGCAGCCCCTACACCTGTGAACAAGCACACATTGAAAATGCGTAGCTCAACTGACCAATTCGCTAGGTCCACAACCACATGCTGGATCCGATGCTCCCATACCTGCGTAGGACCAACAACAGGAGGTCGCAGCCCATGTCCGTCACGAGCAAATACTGCTACACCTGCTCTTGGGGGCACTCCAGAAGTGGGATAGCCTGCCAGCGCCATTATGCGCCATCCACGTCCATGTGCCCATGAGGTCAGAGCCTCAAGTTGATCGGCTAGGTGCCCGATCTCCTGGGCCAAGAGGATCTCAGCTGAAGCAATTTGCAATCTACTTTTGAGTGTTTGCTTGCCTCCACTCGCGTTGAAGGTCTCTATCATGCGTGCCACTTCTTGAGCAGTATCATCTGCTCCCAAAGGCCGTGCATGTCTCCCCTCAGCCAAACCACACACTCTGATCGCAACACCATCTGTTCTGGCCGTGCTGCTCCTGTGTGTGTGTGTGTGTGTGTGGGGGGGGGGGCCGTTCAGGTGCGGGGCGACGCTCCGACGCTTTCAGGACACTGGGCACCACCCGCGTGGGCGCTTCGGGTCTGCCCCCCCCCAAAAAAAAAACAAAAAAAAATGGCATGCAATCCTCGCCGTTGGTGTAACTCCCCGTCGCCCGTTCAGCCACGCAAGTCCATCAGTCGTCGCCGTGCTGCTCCTGGGGGGGAGGGCGCGACGCTCCGACGCTTTCAGGACACTGGGCACCACCCGCATGGGCGCTTCGGGTCTGTCCCCCCCCCCCCACTTGGCGTTCAACACTCGCCGTCAGTGTAGCTGAACTCATCGGCAAGGCAGTCATCTTCCCTCGCAGGTCGAGATACAATCGCCGAACTGCTCTTGGGGGGGGGGCGCGCGGCGCTCCGTCGCTTTCAGGGCACTGGGCACCACCCGTATGGGCGCTTCGGGTCTGCCCCCCCAGTTGGCGTGAAATCCCCGCCGTCAGTGTCACCATCCACATCGGCAAGGCAATCGCCCATCATCATCATGTTACCCCTGCCGCTGCTTCTTCCTCTACTGCTCCTCAAAGTTAGAGAACGCCTGCATTCTTCGACATTGCCGTCTGCTTGCTGGGACAGTGCTCGCTTCTGGCCCTCCGACAGTTTGAGCCCTGGTTCGTCATCGGTGTGCATCCCTGCATTGTCACCACCATCATCAGCATGAGCAGCCACATTAGCAGCATGAGGTTTAGCAAACGCCTTCTGAATATGCTCCCGTAGCTTGGCCCAAGTGTCTGACTTGATGAATTCTCGCACCTCAGGTTCGAGCTGATCTTCCTCAAACTCAAGCTTGACTCCATGGTCAGCTGGGCACGCCGTAGGATGTCTCGGCGGTGCCATCGCTTCGGCTCTCCTCGTGAACTCCTCGTTGAGCGCTTCAACCTCCAGCCTCTGAGCCTCGAGGGCCTCGCGCCTCGCTGCCAAGGGAGCCTGCATCGCCTCAAACTGGCGCTGCTTCTCGTCCAGCTCCTCCTGCATCTTGCGGTGCTGGTTCTTGGCCTTCTCCAATGCTTGTTGCGCACGCCTGTGCACCGTTTGTGGCGGTAGCATAGCCTTGCGTGCACTCTTCGCCTCATCGAGGTTCTGCTGCGTCGTCTTGCGTAGCTCAGCCAGCGCTGGGTCGTCCCCGATTGAGGCCAAGCGTTTGTGCAACTTGTCGATACTTTCGGCCATCTGCGTGAAGGACTTGTCGCGCTCAGCCGATTGTCCTTCACCGTCAGTCTCCATGGCATCAGGACCACGTTCCTCCGAAACTGTGCGGGGAGGGGCTGACGCCGGCCACGGGCGCGGCCCACCTCCGCTCGTACCTCCACCAAGCTTCGGCCACACTGGGTCCTCCTCGATCGCTGCCATGAGCTTGTCAACTTTGGCGGACAGCTGCGCAGCTGCAGAGACGTCACTTCCTTTGCCCCTGCCTTCGCTCTTTCTGCCTCGGCCGTCGCCTTTGTCTTTGATTGCTGCAGCGTGCGCCATACGTGCTGCCTTGACAACTCGCTGCGGCGCCGCCTTCCCACATAGGCACTGCACTCTGCTGGCCCAGTTGGCCGCCCTCCCGCATGAGCACGCCCACACAGGTTTGCGGGGGCCGAAAAGGACCGCCCCCTCCTTCTCCATGCCGCCGTCGCGAGCGGCCTGCACTGAGCAGGCGGTCCTGACCTGGGCTGACAGGCCGCACTCTCGAAGATCAGCCGCGGACTAGCGGTATCCGTTCGGTCCCCTGTGGAACAAAGCATCTTGAGCCAAAATGGTTACGGGCAGGGGGAGGGGGAGGAGGAGGAGGAGGAGGAGGAGGAGGGGGAGGAGGAGGAGAGGAGGAGAAGGGATGATGTGATTGATGATGATGATGATGATGATGATGATGATGATGATGCTGGATGATTGATGATGATGATGATGATGATGATGATGATGATGATGTGATGATGATGTGATGATGCTGCTGATGATGATGATGATGATGTTGAGTTGATGATGATGATGATGATGATGATGATGATGATGATGATGATGATGATGATGATGATGATGATGATGATGATGATGATGATGATGTGATGATGAGGATGATGTGAGGGATGAGGAGAGGAGACGGAGGAGGAGGAGGAGGAGGAGGAGGAGGAGGAAGAGGGGGAGGAGGAGCATGATGAGGAGGAGGAGGGGAGGAAGGAGGAGTAGGAGGCGGAGGAGGAGGAGGAGGAGGAGGGTGGAGGAGGAGGCAGGAGGAGGAGGAGGAGGAGGACGAGGAGGAGGAGGGAGGAGGAGGAGGAGGAGGAGGAGGAGAGGGAGGAGGAGGAGGAGGAGTAGGAGGAGGAGGAGGAGGAGAGGAGGAGGGGAGAGGAGGAGGAGGAGGAGGAGGAGGAGGAGGATTATGAGGAGGAGAAGGTGGAGGAGGAGAAGGAAACGGAGAAGGAGGAGGAGGAGGCGGAGGAGGAGGAGGAGGAGGAGGAGGAGGAGGAGGAGGAGGAGGAGGAGGAGGAGGAGGAAGAGAAGGAGGACGAAGAAGAGGAGCGCTGGGGACGTTCTTGTGCATGTCTGGATGCCTTCAGAGGCTTCTGGTGGCCTCTGGGGACCTCCAGAGGCCACCGTAGGCATCCAGGGACCTCTTGAGACGTCCAGGGGCCTCCTGGAACCTCCTGGGACGTCCGGATACTCCGTGCCCCCAGATGATTTTTGCCCCACATGATGCGGAACGACTTATTTCAGGGAAGTTTGGGCCTTTGGGTGACCATTTCGTGAATGGGGCAATTGCCAGGACGAGCGCACACCCCCTCACACTCCTTCTGACCCGAAGGCTGTCCAGTAGTATATATGGATAATGATGATTGATGTTTTTGTTGATGGTGGTGGCATTGTTGTTCATGGCTGTTACTATGATACTGCTGACGCTGAGGAGGAACATGATGATGATGCTGCTGATGATGGTGGTGATGCTGATAATGATGATGCTGCTGATGATGACGATGCTTATATATGATGGTGATGAGGATAATGACGACGTTGACGATGCTGATTAACTGTGATGATGCTGATGATGAGGATGATGACGATGACGATGGTGATGATGATGCTGATGATGATGATGATGATGATGCTGATGCTGATGCTGATGTTGATGATGATGATGATGATGATGATGATGATGATGATGATGATGATGATAATGAGGATGATGATGATGATGCTGACGATGCTGATGCTGCTGATGATGCTGCTGGTGCTGCTGATGCTGCTGATGATGATGATGATGATGATGCTGATGATGATGATGATGATGATGATGATCTGCTGATGATGATGACGCTGATGATGACGATGATGATGATGGTGATGATGATGGTGATGAGGATGATGATGAGAAGGAAGGGGAGGGGGAGGAGGAGTAGGAGGAGGAGGAGGAGGAGGAGGAGGAGGATGAGGAGGATGAGGAGGAGGACGGAGGACTAGAAGGATAATGAGAGAGGAGGAGGAGGAGTAGGAGAAGGAGGAGGAGGAAGAGGAAGAGGGGAGTGAGGAGGAGGAGGAGGAGGAAGAAGAGAAGGAGGAGGACGAGGAGGAGCGCTTCGGACGATGTTATGCATCTCTGGATGGCTCCAGAGGCTTCTGTTGGCCTCTGGGGACCTCCAGAGGCCACTGGAGGCATTCAGGGATCTCTTGAGACGTCCAGTGCCTCCTGGAACCTCCGGGGACGTCCGGATACTCCGTGGCCCCAGATGTTTTTTGCCCCGCATGATGCGTAACGGCTGCTTTTTGCGAAGTTTGGGCCTTTGGGTGACCATTTCGTGCATGGGGCAATTGCCAGGACGAGTGCACGGCCCCTCACACTCCTTCTGACCCGAAGGTGGTCCAGTAGTACAATTGGATTTGAATGATTACCATCCATCCTGTGGTGTTGGGTCCTCGTTTTGAAGAGACAGCGCCCCGCGTTCCTCACTCATTCCTCCTCCCCCTTCTCCCTCCTTCCATCCCCCTCATCATCAGCAGCATCATCATCATCACAGCAATAATCATCAGACTACTCATCATCATCGTTGTCATCATCATCATCATCACCATCATCACCATCATCACCATCATCATCATCATCATCATCCTCCTCGTCATCATCAGTATCATCATCGCCATCGCCATCGTCATAGTCATCTTCATCGCAATCATCAGTGGGGGTGCCCGCATTCGACCGCCACACCCAGTAATTACAAGGTTTCGTGGCACATGCGTCCGCCACACCCAGTACAGCGTTTCGTGGCCCCATAGGGAGCTCCACCGACGGCCGCAGTGGGGGTGCCCGCATGCGTCCGCCACACCCATTTTTTATATTTTGTATTCTCACCCCTCACACGTTTCGTGGACTTATGGGGAGCTCCACCCAAGGCCTCAGTGCGGGTGGCCACATGCGTCCGCCACACCCAGTACAGCGCTTCGTGGCCCCATAGGGAGTTCCACAGGAAGCCCAGTGGGGGTGGCCACATGCGTCCGCCACACCCAGTACAGCGTTTCGTGGCCTCATAGGGAGCTCCACCCAAGCCCCAGTGGGGGTGGCCACATGCGTCAGTCACGCCCAGCACAGCGTTCCGTGGCCTTATAGGGAGCTCCACCGAAGGCCCCATTGGGAGTGCCCGCATGCGTCCGCCACACTCAGTACAGCGCTTCGTGGCCCCATAGGGAGCTCCATCCAAGGCCCCAGTGGGGGTGGCCACATGCGCCCGCCACACCCAGTACAGCGTTTCGTGGCTTCATAGGGAGCTCCACCGGTTGCCCCAGTGGGGGTGTCCGCATGCGTCCGCCACACTCAATACAGCTTTTGGTGGCCCCGTAGGGAGCCCCACCTGAGGCCCTAGTGAGGATGGCCACATGCGTCCGCCACGCCCAGCACAGCTTTCCGTGGCCCCATAGGGAGCTCCACCGCAGGCCCCAGTGGGGTTGCCGCTACACCCAGTGCAGCGTTTCGTGGCCCCATAGGGAGCTCCACCGAAGGTCCCAGTGGGACCGCCCGCACGCGCCCGCCACACCCAGTACAGCGTTTCGTGGCCCCACAAGGAGCTCCACCCAAGGCCCAGGTGAACCCGCATGCGTCCGCCACACCCAGTACAGCGTTTCGTGGCCCCATAGGGAGCTCCAGCGAAGGTCCCAGTGGAACCGCCCGTGTGTGCCCACCCCACCTAGTACAGCGTTTCGTGGCCCCATATGGGGGCTCCACCGAAGGCCCCAGTGGCACCGCCCGCATGCGTTTCCACAACCCACTACCGCGCGTCGTGGCCCCATAGGGAGCTCCACCGAAGGCCCCAGTGGGGGTGTCCGCATGCGTCCCCCCACCCATTACGGCACGCCCCATCACGCTTTGCGTGGCCCACCGGAAGCGGCACCCATAACGCGCTACTCACAACTACACATGGCTGGACCCTTCGCCAGGATAATTGTTGTTTTTGTTGATGGTGGTGCCATTTTTTGGTTCAAGGTTGTTACTATGATGCTCGTGACGTTGAGGAGGAACATGCGGATGATGATGCTGCTGCGGATGACGACGATTAACTATGATGATGATGATGAGGATGATGACGATTATGATGATGATGCTACTGCTGATGATGATAACGCTGATAGCGATGATTATGATAATGATGATGATTCAGTATGGTGATGATGGCGATAATGGCAATGATGACGATGACGATGATAATGACGATGCTGATGCTGCTGCTGATGATGATGCTGATGATGATGATGAACGATGATGATGACGATGATGATGCTGCTGCTGATGATGATGGTGGTGATGATGATGATGATGCTGATGATGATGATGATGATGATGATGATGATGATGATGATGATGATAATGATGATGATGATGATGATGATGATGATGATGATGATGATGATGATGATCGTGATGATGATGATGATGATGATGATGATGATGATGGTGATGGCGATGGCGGTGGTGATGATGAGGAAGATGATGAT